ATCAGATTACTTGGAGTTACTAGACAATTTTTCGAAATACAGAAGTGCCAAATGTTTACATTTGTTTCCATGGTGGGATTATTTCCTCAGAGATCAAAATCTTGTTGGGGTGAAAAAGTCATATTTCAAATATTATTATTGATAGTGATAATCTTTCTTAGATTCAAAAATGTTTACATACAATTCAATAAGTTTCCAGGGTGATAATAGTTTTCCATTATATACAATGGTCGTTTTTCTCCCATAATGCATTGCATTTGAATTTGGCTCAAACTGTCTTAAAGTGCCTGTGCAATGCCCACTCTCACGTTTCCCATTTTAGATCTGTGTCCCACTGAAATGGGCAGTTAATGATTTTTTTGCTGAAAATGATTACTCGTATTCAAGTAAATTTGGGATATTTCTCGTGTTGTAGCCACGCCCACCTAACTTGATACGGTCGACTGTTTATGGATTTCCGGCTCTCACTGAAAGTGCGCCACCAAATGCCAAAATGTGAGAGGACGTCATACCCCTGAGCCGTAATAACACTGGTCATTCAGTATACTTTTAAACCATATACATTTTTTCAGTCGGCGTTTTTTTTTGTCCTTTTTTTTGTCTATTTTCTTTTTTTTTGAGAGGGAGTTTTTAGATGTTGTGTTGTGTGCAGTTGCAGTGAAACGTATAGTCATAGTGTAAGTATTCACACGTTTCTAATCGATCCGAAAGTGCGACATCAGGGGACGATAGCCACTTAACCTCAGATTCCTTTTTTTGGAAAAACTGTCCTCGTCCATGAAAAAAAACAACTAGGTTTAAAGAGAAACGCGGACAACATAAACCTGGCGCAACACTTTTGAAAGGAATAGATTCTGAACCATGATCACCGAGGCGGATTTCAGAACCGAGAGAGATGTCCGGCAAGTGTTTCAAATAAGTGACTTTTTTTGCGATACTGATTATGGTTTTATAGAGACCATTTAGTCCCTGTTAAGTAAAAGGTAGTAATAATTTTGACAGTGACACGAAAACGAAGCCTCGGACAAACAGGAAATTACACAGCCCTTACACACTGCTAATTGTTTTCATTTTCGAAGGCTAAAAGTTTCTGAATAGTTTGGTGATTGGTGTTGAATGTCGAATTCACACCTCTGTTCTTTTTTTACCTCCATGCTTGCAGCTTGATCTGCGTAATAATTTATGAAATAAGAATCCAGGCTTGGTCAATGTGTTTCCACCAAATAAAGTTTTAATATGATGTTATAATTATGACAATCACACCATGGATCACGCAAACTCGAATCCACTCTGAATTTATCTGTATGTGTGTCGATCTCGATTATTTTTTAATTAAACGCCGCTTTTAACGCACTTGCCCTCACTGCGTTCACCTATTTCAACAAAGTTTCAACTTATTTTCACGCGGCTGTCATTTATTTAGTAACCGTGATTTGTCGTTTTTTTTTTTAATTATTTTAAAGTGAACACTATAGTCTAATGTTTAGAATGTCAAAATATGTTCTCTTTTATTTTAATTTTGAAAGTTTTACTCAGACGATCGATGAAATAAAACAGTGTAGTGACGTACCTAGTAACCTGCTAAATAACGAGATAATTCCGATGTCAAATTCTATTTTGACCAGTGACAGTGAACAAAGGTGTGCCGCTGACGATCACGGTGACCAGCTACACCAGAACGGACATATTTCGCATCTAACTCAACCCCATGCAACAAAAAATGATACTATGTGTTCATTATGGTCTATTCCTCCTCGACGAACAAGTACATAAGTGAAAATTTAGTCAAAGACGAGAAAACTGCAGAAGAAATTTGCCTTATTTACACCTATCGGCAATGCAAGCTGCCATGCGACTTCCCCTTCTGACGTCACAAGGGGAATTTCTGTATGCAAATAAGAAGCTAATGAGGAGCCTCGTTTTAAAATACACAAAAATAAAGTTGCCATAGATTGAGTTTAAAACACATTTTTTCACTTAAAAAAATAATTCATGCTTAGAAACATAAAAATTAATAATATTTATGTATCAATGGATAATTTTAGGCGTGAAAATAGCAGCCATTTCACAGGCACTTTAATGGTGTTGAGAACAAAATTTTTCCGCAAAAGTTCCGCAATTTTCACCGAATTTTTTGTCTAGCATAAATTTATTTTCACAAATTCTGTTTTCATCTTTATCTATTATTCAAAGATAAAATAAATATACATGTATCTAAATTGTATATTGCAAACCGTTCAACTTTCAGTGCTAGACATGTTCACATTTTAAAGGCCCAGGTATACTGTAAATACGCTCCTAAACAATAGGGATTATTTCCTTGATTGTCACGCTGTAGTAAACAGCTCCAGCCAAGCTCCGGTAAAAACGCGTTTTCTCGAACTTACAGGTTGATTATGTCATGCCAAAGTGGATGCATGCGACTATGAATATCACAGCAGTGACTGTGTGTACTATTTATGACAATAAATAGTGTACGAGCTGAGATTTTGTCGGATAAAAGTCAAAAACACGAACGAAGAAAGGGAAGCGCTACTACCGTAATCTTGAATAAATTAACTACTGTCAATTAAAGTTACCTGATGTTGGACCTCTGAAACAGGATGCGTCATAGGCTATGCAAGTGATTAACAACACTCATTAGCATAGCCACACCTCCAATTCACACTTGCCCGAGGCAAGTGAATTGGGCCTTCAAGGATTTTACGGCATTCATGAAGACAAAGTTACTGACACTTCTTATTTTAACTACCAAATTACAATTTGCGAAAATTTGTCACTCATGAAATGAAACGTGTTTACAGTATATAAGGATGATATCTGTGTCAGATCACACAAACCCAATTCATTACATACATTTCTTTGCATATCATCAACTGCAATTGTAATGTCTTCATATCCATCCATCCCATAATAGCTAGTCAATGTATTGTTCAAGTTGTCTTGTAACTCCGCTTCAAGCTGAAATAAACATGTATTATTATAAACAACTTACTCAAAATAGTATTGCAATTAAAGCTTGGTTTTTGGAAAGTATTTTTGCATGTATTTGCAGTGCCTTCTATTGTTAATTGTGATGTGAACCACACATTAAAACAGGAATTTTTTTTTTTTGTTTTTTTCAAAATTATCAGACTGAGTGCATTTGAATCTTACTGTAATGAAGGCAAGTACTCGTAAGGGATGCATTAGACATTACCTGATTGTGGTAGACATACGCAAGGATTCCAGCCACTACTTCCATCACCAGAACTATTAATAAAAGACTGGTATACTGAATAGAAAAAAAAATCATCAGAAAAAGAACAGCAGTAAATTTTAAAGTAATTTTGAAAAAGCTAGGGAATGTCATAATTATTAAAGTGAAGTTTCACTATAACTTGGTAACAATCAAGTCTCACAAGTCAAATACTGTATTTGTTCTATTTGATAAGCATCTTTGAATACACACAAAGCAAAAATGACGTATATTGTACTACTGGATAATTAAAATATGTAAATTTTTTTTAACAAAATCATACAAAATAATAGTCAGTAATACATGCTGATCTCCCATGTATTGAGTCCCGTTTTTAAGAGAAACCTCCAGATCAGAAATCTCCTACTCTAAATGTTGAAAAGAACAGGAACAACACACAGGCCAACAGTTATACTCCCAGCAACTGGACGCCATTCCCTCAACTAGAAATGTTATCAGTATGGGCAGAATATACTACTGTATAATGCCGGACTACATGGGATTAGTCTTACCAGAATGAGGCATAGTTTTTGTTCCTGCACTGCACCACAGCATCCAAGTGCTCCAACTATCATAACACATATACCAGTTAAAAGTAATAGATATGTTGTTACTTCATAAGTACTGGTAGTTAGCACAGCTACATAGTGACTTTTATCGATTAATGTCCAAATACCTACGGCTAAGACACCAGCACCAGCAAGCTGGGAAAAAATAATATTACATATATACTGAAATTTTTGAAATAAGTAATTGAATATGTGAAAAACACAAAAAAACTGATAATTGTTAACC